GCCATCCAGCCAAACTACAGTATGCAACCAAACAAGAAAGGTCTTGGTCAAGGAGGTGACCAAGAACCCACCATTCACTCTAACGGAGCTTCAGAAGTAATCTGCAGAGACGGGAAAACCTGCAGGAAGGACAATTATTTAAGCAGCTCTCCATCAGTCAGGCCTTTATGGTAGAGTGGCTAGACAGAAACCACTTAAAGTAAAATGCATATGACAACTGCTTTGAGTTTGTCAAACAAGAACAAGACTCTTGTCGGATGAGACAAAACTGAACCCCAGAACTCCAAGCACTATGTCTGATGAACACCAGGCACTGCTCATCACCTGGCTAATACCATCCATGTGGTGAAGTATGGTGGTGGCAGCTATGGCTGGGCATCACTCTGAATAAAGGTACTGATACGGTTCCTAAACAATACTTGTTTCAATACTAATTTGCTTATAAACACACCCACACACATACTGTATATATAGTCTAGACACAGTGTAAAACCTTAGTAAATATTCCCCTTATTGTTAAAAGCTGCATTGTTGTCCAGTGATGTATTAATGACAAACTGCTTGTTAGTCAGCTCCCACAAGCTCAAATGATACTCCTGACTACTTTGCACATTGGATGTGTTACCTGCAGTTAACTGCAGACTGACTATATCTTCTTCACAGATTCAAATTCTGCAAGTCATATTTCTGAACTTTAAAGGTGACAAGCTTTTAAAAGAATACTTTAATGTACTTTAAATTGAAACTGGAACTTTGTGACTCCTGGTCACTAGCCCCCAGCTGTCAGTCATTTACACTAATGAGGCAGCTCATTAGGGCCTGAGTGAGAGCTGAGGTGATCAGTCATGTAGAAAAAGACTCACTGCTCTGGTGGTGCTTTTGAACATCTAACAGACAGAATCTGCACTCCAGTGTTGTTTCGTTCTTTACAAAGGATACATCTTTAGCCAGGTTTGATTATTACAGTCACATCATGCAAGAATTTGTCAAAACAGCCAAGAATGTCAATTTGCAGTGTACTCTGGAAACTATGATGTTTAGCTTAGTAGTTTGTCTTCTGCAACAAAGTATCCTTGGGCAAGACACTGAACCCCCCCATTGCCCCCCGATGGTTAGAGCCATTGGTGTGATTTGGAGCCGCAGATAGCTGCCTCGGTTCTGTACCAGAAACAAATTCCTTGTGTGTGTAACATGCTTGGCCAAATAAAGGTGATTATCCTTATCAATTCTCTTCGCCAATACTTAAAAATAGGCCACGATGTAATCTGATTTAGAGGCCTGCAATCAAAGTGAATGAATGAAGCGATATTATCTGCCTATTTCACACAATTATATTTTTATTAACTAAAATGTAACTGAATTATAATTTCGAAATTCAAGTGCTATTTAAATACAAATAAGGATCAATGATTACCCTCCAAGTCAACATAAACCTTTTGGAGATAGGACAACTTGTTTCTGATGGGAGAGTTACTTTATCTGTGTACTTTTCTTGACTGCTATAGGCCAAGGCCAGTTCTCATAGAAAGCATTTTGTCACTTGCCCCTCTCAGGCAACAGAAAAAACTCCAGTCTATCAAATGTGTCACTCCACACTGAGTCAGAGACAAGCTTAATCCCCACAGACTGTTTGTTCGGTCACTGTCTTGCTGACAGAAAAACAACTGTTCTGACGATAGTGACACTCCATGAAGGTCAGACTTGGTGTGGACTGAAAGGATCAAATGCTTTAGTATCTTATGCGCTGCTCACGTCTCACTTTTAGTGTGAATTCCCAGCAAAGATGTGATTCCCAGTCTCAGAACGGAACTTTAATGGTAATGTGTACATATGTGGCTGGCTGGCAAATAAAAGCGCACAAAACATCGAAGTTTACATTTTTCATCAATGTCATCAGATTGTGGGTGTTTGATGGATGTATCGATCCAGACTGGTGGATCATTACACCCCTAGGCCTGCAACCACATAGAACTAACTTGAACATTGCAAAATTAAGCAAGTTCCTTGAAACAACTTTAAGTTGAAGGGCACACAGAAGATGTTTCAGAGTGATGCAAATAAAACCTGTCTACATTCCCATCATTAAAAGCTCAGTAACATCATCCATCAAAGTTTGCCTCCCATTTCAATGCAAAACTATTCAAGTGGATGAGAGAGTGATCAGCTGCTTGCTGCCTCACATCAAAGATCAACATTAGACCCCAGCCATGGTATCTCTCATCCTCTGACAACCTACCCCATGGTAGGTCCAAACATAAAGTATATGCTGTACAAACAAAGGAGGCCACAAACATAATCCCAGACTTACTAAAATTCTTTTAAATTCCACAGGGAAAGTAACACACACTGAGCTGGCAGTGGAGGTACACCTACAGTAGATAAACTCAATGATCCAAAATGATCGTAAAGTTTTATCTCATCTTAATGAACATTCCTTTGCTGTCTGCATCGTTTACTGTCTGTTTATACTGCTTATTCTGCATTGTTTGCACTATTTGTTGATGTTAATTCTTATTATTTTGTTATATTACACAGCCTTATGCTGGCTTACTGTTTGCACATTGAGAGCCGATGTACCAGAGTCAAATTCCTCATGTGTCCGTCACACCTGGCCAATGAAGCTGATTCTGAACCACAGTTTGAACAAAATCCCAACATCATCACCTTCACAAAGGAGGATTTAATGAAGGAAAGTTGAATTACCTTTAGCTAAGTGTATCTAATAAACTGCCTAGTGAGTCTATAATGACTGACTATACTATCTCTTGTATTAATCTTTGCCAATTTGACAATAGTTTAAATTCTGCTAAATACCAAATATGACACAATGTAGTGTCATTCTCCTTTAAATAATTGCCATTTAGTTTTTTTTTTATTTCAGTACAATCCACTCATTACAATCCATCCATTATTGTGACCCCAGAGTACCGTGACTATTTGCTACTACTTACTTTGGGTGTAGGCTTGGAAAGTGCTAGAGACATGCCCAGCCCCTCCAGTCCAGCATCCACCACATGCTGCTCCTCCAGTGTTGAGTACTGAGGATTCACCAGGCTTTGCACCTGTCCCTAATCAGCATCAGTGGTGCTCATCAGCCTCCTGGCCTGGAGGGCTGGCGTGTGTGATTACTCTTAGCAGCGTGACATTCTCTTGCCATTGTATCATTGTTCCTCATAACCCTCAGGGGTTATGTTTTGTTACTAGTTTGCTTCAGTAAAGTTGGCTCACACACATGCATCCTTATCTAGTGGTCTCATCTCTGGTTTTCATGACAGAGTCTTTATTCTTACTCTCCCGTGACAAAGGTATCATTGTTGGAAATATAACAGAGAACCTGGTGTTTTTATGAATGAAGAGCACCAACACCATGTATCTCAGGCCGTATGTACTAGACATGTCATATTTGTGTATATTTAATACTTGGTAAAGAATACTGATTCTGATATACATTGTAAATATGTGTACACACTGATGTGTGTTTATAAGGGCATGGTGATAATTTGTATGTGTGTTTATGATTCTGTAAGTAGAGGAGCAAGTGTAGCCCCTCCCTTCCCACAAGACAAAAAAACTGAAAGGGATGAACAACAGTCCCTTTCCTACTAATGAGCAAAGCAGAGTGACAGATTAAGCTGTGCAAAGGCCCACCCTAGAGTGGAACTATTTTTGTTTTCCTGAAGTGTCACTAGGTCCTTACGCTGTACAAAATATTTTGACAAAGCAACACATTTTGATTTTTAGTCAAATGTTGTTACAAAAAATAAAATGAAATAAAATAAAATCTATTAACTGAGAGAGCAGTCCTGTTCCAAAAATACTGTATATGAAAATACTGTATTTCAGAGAACTGAAAACAGATGTTGAAGTTACAGCTGTTCCAAGTCAGATATCATTTGTGAACACTATGTTTAAAGTGTAACCGAAATACAGCATACTGCATAAACGATATGTGCTATTTCTATAAAATTAGTGAATACTGAGTCATCTTCCATCGCAGAGACAGAACAAAGGTTATTTTTAAGGCATTTCCAACACCTTTGTCACAAGTGCCAGGTGACGTGTTACATAGAAAGAGGAGAAGGAGGAGGAGCAGGAAGAAATGCAATAAAGGTACCAGTCTGGCTTTGAAGCCAGGATGTCATGGCTGCATGCTGTGCACCAGACATTTTTGCTTAGCAGTAAAACACTAAATCATTATTAATTAAATCAAAAGCTTTACATAGGTTTTTATAACCCTTTTTCAGTTTCCTTTTCTATACTGAGAAACTCTGGAAATTAATCAGTACTGGTTCACAATGCAAGTCACACATTTCGAGCCTGAAACTAGCTTTCAAAGAGCTGGATGTTTATGTTACTTAACAAGGACTATGTAGAACCATCATGTACCACATATAATCTAATACAGCAAAGAAGGAAGTCTGATTTAATGTAAATGGAAAGGACCAGATGGCACCCCTTCTAACAAACTGTTAAAGCTGTAGACATTTATTGGTGTATTATTATCACTGTAAACAGTAATTAGCACACTTCTACTAGACGTCTGAGACTTTTTGAGAGCAGGTGCCTTTACTACAGCAGTTTTCTGCTGACAGTGTCCATTTTAATATTAGGATGCAATAGAACCAAATAAAAAACTAAACAAAACAGAACAAATAAAACAACTCAGATGAAATCCCCTTTTCACCACCAACTGTGAAGCTCCAGGCTAAAACATCAAAATAATGTGACAGATAATTGTCATGACCATCTGCTTTCTGGGTCTGGGAAAAGAGCTGCTTATGTTCAATGATTATAATTAGTCTAGGTGGGGCAGTTGTATTAAAAAAGTACAAAAAGATGCACTAATCACAAAATAAAACAATTTCAGTTGTGCATGTAAGGAGGTGAGCATAGTCCTCGAAGAAGATTAACACCTATCTTCTTCATGTGGGCCCTTCAGTAAAATGGCATAGGCATGAGGAGATGAGGACCACAACATGCAGGATAGGTCAGTCACTTACCCATCACTTTAACAAAGTAGGCGTCAGCTTCAAAGTTGTTCTTTAAAGCATGGATGGTCCAGTCATTTTTGCCTTGTACCTGGCTCAAAACCAGCATGTCTAATATGCCCTGCAAATGAAGACAGGCAAATAGATAAGGGACAGTGAAAGCATGGGATGATAGAAGGTCCACAGAAGTGGAAGAAGAATGTATGAGAGAAAGGATGGTGTGCTATATGTATGACCAACATAAATAACAATAACTGGGGACCAAGTACTCACATCCTCGTAGATGTCAAAGAACGCTGCCATGGTGGCACTTTGGATGGATCCCAAATCTGACTGGTCCCAGTGGATGTGCAACATTCTTCCTACACTCTGGCAGCTGTCGCTGTTACAGGGCACGTTCTCCAGTAGGAAGGCCTTCTGACCACTGGGAGGCAGAGACAGAGAAAGACAGGGAGAAAATGCATGTTATCATTTTAATGGTTAATTAATGGTGACAATGGAGCATGGTGTTACCTCATTGGCTGAATCATACCAGCTGACTAATGATCATCCGTCACATTTACACATGCTAGTTTGGTGATGTTTATAAAAACCCTGGTCTCTCAAGCCAACTCCACCACCCCCAGTGACCTCCACTTATGATATGTACACAAGAGTCTGGGCAGGACATTTCTCAGTCAGGTCTGATGGACTGTGGTAGTTAGTTTTTATACCATACTGATGTGACTAAGTAGGGGATATGATGTTCAGAGCCACTTGGATTATTCACTTGAAATACAAAGCCCTCCTTTTCTGCAAAACATCACTGTATTACAGTATACAGTATGTATTTGTGATAATAATTAGTTTATAATACTTTAACAGAAGTGTCTCCAAAATTTAAATTGTGATTTTATAGAAATTACTTGGACCTTTAGCCAAAAAACATTTGTTGCCTTTCACAGCACACAGTTCTGAACCAGAAAACAAGACATTGCCCTTACAGCACTCAATCTGTCTATACTATATCTTTAATATAATCATGCAATACACAGTAGCTCCAACAAAAGTGTTGCCTCACACTGAAAATATATATATACTGTATATCTACAGTTGTCAAACTATTATTTAAGAAGCTTGACCAAGACCCTGATACAACTCTCTAATCTCTCTAATCTCTGATTCCTATGAACAGGCTTTGAGAAGATGCAAGAAGCAGGTGGTTGACAGCCTAACTATCAGTCATGTACATTACATTTGTAAATTGGGTTTTGTGCAAAATGCAGTTCTGAATGAACCTTTCTTAAATGTAGGGCTGGTGATTCTTTTCAGAAGCATTTTTTGTTAGATATCTTGAATTTCTCTTTTCATCCCAATGGCAATGAATACATTAAATGCACTAACAACATAAAGAAAAAAATCCATCACCTGTGGCAGCAGCAGGGCTGAAAAAAAGCCTGATCTAATTTTACTAATCCCAAACAAAACCACTGAATGGCCTACTGGCCTGTCAACCTACTTCTTACTTATGTGCACTCTGCCTGTCTACTCAATGCATGAGCCAAGAGTCTCCCACAAGGTGCTGCAGTGGCAGGCAGATGTGTTACCGTTCTGTTTTCATAGCTAAAGCTAGCGAGCTATAACAGCGAAGGTCAGGGGCGCCGCTAGCAGTTTTGGGCTCTATGAAAAAATCTGAAGTTGGGCCCTCTAAGCTAGTCTCTGTGGGCCCCCAAAGTTCGTGGGCCCTTAGAATCGTCCTAACTTCCCTCCCCCCCAACAGCGCCCGTGGCGAAGGTACCCACAGCAGCTTTTGCTCACAAACAGAGGCTGTTGTTACAGGCCAGGTCTTCCCCTTTAAGGCTTATAGTCTTATAGGAAATCTTGTTGTTGTTGCCAGAAGTTGCTACCTGCAGCAGCGTGTGCAGTATGAGAGCTAGAAGACCACTGCACAAAACAGACTTCTTTAACGTGCAGCCACGTGTGGCAGAAATAGCGAACAGTAGTCAGCTCTAAGTGTATAGATAGGACTGTAATGCAGTTAACTGGTCATCAAAGGCCACATTCAGTGTTCGTATTATCAAGACAGAATAAAGCCTGTGTTTCTGAACGCCGTTAGTCTGCCTCCCTCTTCACTTCTCCCTGCCGGAAAAGCCCAGACTTCTAAGGCTAGTTACTGGCTACGAGCCAGGGCTAAAGCAGTTTAGCCATGAACCAGAGGTTCCCAACTATGGTTGAGGGCTGAAGTTCTGGGCAGGTAACACCATATTTGAGAAAGTTACAACTAAAAAGAAACTGGATGCTGCAAGAAGTAAAACCAGAATTAACAGTGGTGTGGCTTTTGAATGATGATTACATGCTCAAAACAGTCGAGATGACCTCCATGGAGGACCTGTACACCAAAGGAGGGCAGAGAGGATCACTGCTGACCCCTCACACCCTGGACACAATCTGTTTGAACTCCTCCCCTCTGGGCGGCGTTACAGGTCACTGTGCACTAAGACAACCAGGCACAGGGACAGTTTCTCCCCCCAGGCTGTCACTCTGAATACTTGACCCACAACAGTATGACTGGACAATAACTCTCAGTTCAATACCTGTAAATATACATTGTACAGATATTACCTTACAGGTCTCCATTTTTAAGTACTCTATTTTTATTCATATTTATCTCATTTCATAATGAACATTCCTTTGTCTGTCTTCATGGTTTGTTGCTTGTTAATACTGCTTATTTTGTTATACTACACAGCCTTATGCTGGTTTACAGTTTACTTGCCCCTTGCATGGAGATATGTACATACACATTGAGAGCCGATGTACCAGAGTCAAATTCCTTGTGTGTCCGACACACCTGGCCAATAAAGCAGATTCTTCTACAAGACAGAAAGGGGCTGGAAAGTGACGCCATGGTTGGCATATTTTTCCTGTAATAATAACTAATAATTACAGGTAATTATTAGTTTTGTTTTGTCTGGGGGGGGCATTTATTATTTTTCTGAAATCTCTAAGTAGTAGTCAGGCAGTGGTCATTGTGTTTTGGAGTAATGGCTTTGGAGAGTAGTCAGAATGAAAGGGTGGGATTTCTTCAATGGGCTACTTTCAAAATCGAGCTTTCTCTTGCTGGTTTTTCCAGTATGTACAGTCATCAATGAGTGTAGATTATATTTTGACTTTATGATCCCCATAAAGTCAAAATATTGTTTCTTTCTTTATTAGAGACTTGACTACAATAAGAAATTATAATTCAGTTAAATTAAATTAATTTTTTGTATACTGTAGAGTCAACTCACAACAAAAAAATAAACTCAAGGCACTTTACATACAGTAGTAAAGACATTAGTGTTAAAGAGATAAACCCAACAGTGTCAGTGGGAAGGAAAAACTCCCTTCAATGGAAGAAACCTCAGACAGAATCATGCTCTGCAAAATATTATGTTAAAGATTGATATATGTTCACTTTTTAAAACAAGCACGTCAGTGTTGAAGAGAATGCAAACTGCCTCAGGCTAAAGCCCCAAGCACCTGTTTTAGTACATCTTCAGGCACTGCCGTCTTGCACCGCGGCCCATAATGTACGTATATCTGTTACTAATTAAGAAAAACAAATCCTTGCTTCAGACCACACAATCTTGCATGTACACATTTGTATTAATACACTCTAAAACATGTACTTCTTGTCACTTTTTTCAGTCAGGTACTGAGAAATATGCTAGAGTTGAAATAAAGCCAACCACTCTTGGAGTCAGTGTAACTGTTTCTCCACCTCTCTGCCCATACTTTATGTACTCAGTTTATGTCACCATCTCCATCAAATTCTCTAGGGAGACTGAATCCCTCTCTTTCTCTGTCTATGTGTCTTTCTGCCTTGAGAGACAGCGCTCTGTGCCTGTTCTTAGATCTCAGTGAGAGTAGCGACCTGAAAAAAGGCGCTGGTCTAAAAATAGAAAAATCGTAAAATCCCTCCCTCTCTCAGGAATTTAGATGACTCTTTCCACCCTCACGCAAACTCAAAGCCTGATGGGACATCTGTCATGTAGGATGCTTTAAAAAGATGAAAGACTGTATGACGCAAGGTTGAAAAAATGCTTTTCTGCTGCACCACAACTTACATTTATATGATATAGTGCACGGTACAGAGAATGTTACTTGCTAAAACGTGTGTTGATTGATTACTGACATTAATAAGATGGTGTCATCCATCCTGAAACTGTGCTGCCATGTGAAATAGTACAGTTGAAGTAGCTACACAGCAACACAGAAACAGAGAGATAGAAAAATGTTTGTTTCTAGTCTTTACATGTCCAAACCATACAATATGACAGAACAAGCTAATCTTACTATTGTGTCTTGTACAAAACAGGATAGAGACAAAAACAGAAAGATTCAATATAATAGGATGGAGATGCCAATAATGACGAGTCTCTCACACAAAACAGACACATAGCATGTACTATAAAGCCTAGACTCTAGGTGCTTAGTGTACTGTATATGGAAGATATCATGGTAATAAATGCTAATGTTACACAACAGCTCACCTCAACTTAGCAAACCCAGTGGGCAAATTGCTGCTTGAAATGTGCTTTGTAAGCCTCTCGAGGGCTCTTAGCCTGGTGTTGGCAAAAATGGTTGCTAAGTGAACAAGCAGTGATGGAGTGGAAGTTAACTAGAATTCATTGTAATTTTTTTTCATAAAGTATCTAATGGCTGCCTTTATTGCTGTTTTTAAAACTACACAAGCTCTTGTAATCAGCAGCAGTTTAAATGACAGTGTGGGATGGTTTTGACGTAGGAGCTCCTGTGCATCATGAACGCTGGAGTCTCAGCAAAAGCATTTTATTCAAATAATAACACATGGCATTAGGAAAGCTACAGTACATGAAGAAGGCAAAGTTCAGTGGAACCTCTATGGTGGTTCAGTGGTAGTCCTGGTCAGGTCCACACCAACAAGCTGGAGCCTCTGAGATCCAATCACATTTTTTAAGGAATGAGCGGCTAAAATTCATCAGGCTTTGCTTCATGCTTTTTAATCTTGCAGTTTTGGACCATTTTGTGAGTAAAGATTTCTTGTTGGATGCTGTCCACAGAGGCTGACTTCATGTAATGTCCTTTGCATTCCCTGATCCGTCACTGAAATGCCAATTTCCAGAGATCCCTGTGCCCAGTCAGAAGCACTTTGTTGTGCTGTCGTTTTTCAAGGACGATCATGCCACCTTCTCTTTAGTGGTAGTATGGCTTTTCCTGCACCTCATAGCCACTGCTGTAACTGTGTTTTGGCTCATGTTCAGTTACCCTCTCCCATTTTTATGAGGTCTCACAATCCAGTTTCCTACTTGTGCAGTTAATTCCTTACCATGTGGAGCTGTTTTGCATAAGACACAACCCAGGCCAAAACTGACAAAGCTGTTCACAGGTTCATTTATAACCTTATTCATGCAATTAGTCTTA